GCAACCACGTAAGCACGGCTAAGAGACAGTTGGAATTGCCCCAAGGTGATCGGGTAAGGGGTTCAACCGTTTAAAACCTAGCAGCATGCGCGTACCTGCTCAGAGCTGTAATCCGGGAGGACGATGTGAAAGCGTTCAGTCAACAGGGGCGGGTAGTCGACTGTTGGCTTTTTCGACGTCGTTCGCCGCACCGCAAACCCAGTCTAAGAGAACCGAACTCCTTGGTTATTTAGTCAAACATGACTATTAAGCCACGAGCTCAGTCGTCTGCCCACCGCGATTGAGAGATTTCAGAGTCACCTGTAAGTCGCCTCCGACTTTGCTGATAGTGCCTCGTCGTCCCTACACGAACTCATAACCACGGCAAAGCGTCCTCAATTTGGGCCGGAGAACCACGCGCTCAGCTACGGCAACCACATGCCTACTTAATAACCTTAAGTAGTTTACTTGGGAGCCATTTCGGGACACGACAGTTCGGCCCACGTGACCGACGATGTCAACCGGGTGCTCCACAGCAGGAACGACGACTTGGGGTTTTTATGGTGGCAGCGGACTTACGCAGCATCTATCGAACTCCGGAGAGGGGCACAGGTGGCTCTCAGGGCGAAAACCTGCACCTAGACGTATCACCACACTCCGTGGTCCACAACGTGCACCGCTCAGATCCCCATTGGCGCGATGTGGGCCTACAACTCGGTTTGCCACAACACCGCCAATGTTGGCCTATGTAGTGAATGCGCATTCCCAATAACCCCTGTCGGATTCCGATCCAGACCGCGTATTGGTATTGGTCCAGCGCATCCACCGCGTGGCCTGTTTGAGGGGTACCACTTCGAGATGGTGGTAGCCGCTCAAACTTTGGACGAACCAACGATGTAGTTCTGTTTTTACATGTTCTGTAGACGTATCTCAATTTCTCATCGGCTAGGAAACGTTGTGCAAAGTGAGGCGCTAAAATATCTTCGTAATATGTCAGATCCTAACGCGTGTTTACGGCAAAAAGTATAAATTTAAATATTTGAGGGTAGAGGTAGTGCCCTCGAAGATCTCCGTTTTTTCCGCCAAAGGCGTAAGAAACGTTTCCCTGGAGTAAAACGCGTTTTGTCATTGCATCGGCTGGAGGAAAGAGGCGCCTAGCCTCAGGTTGCAAACGTAATCATATTCTAACTGGAAGTAAATTAATGATGTGGTTGCCTTCGGAGTATGTTGGGAAGCTGTGTTTTTTTCTACTGATTAAATGTACAACTTGCTTGGTTTTATATATTACAGGGAAAGGAACAAAAATGCCTCCACTGGTTATAATTATCAAGCAGTATACATAAATCTTAATCGGGACACATGCATTCGCATGTTGGTGGCGAAATCAAAGAAATAGACACTTAGTGTGGGCGCGATGACTTGTGGGCTCCAGAAGTGGAGTAATTTAGTAGGCGATGGCTCCAGGGCCGTGGTCTTTGTTGCTCACCTCAGAGGTGTAAAGCTGTTACGTTTAAAGTCAAAATGACCATCGTCTGCCGATTGGTCTGCGAGCACTTGCAGGCACATGTTTACTACCGTGGTTGTAAGGGGGTGTAGCGAGAGAGAAACCCGTTTGCAGCACCCATCCGAGGCTTTTTTGTAGGTTCTGAATAAAC